ATAAATAAACAAACAAACAAATAAAATCTTTTTAAAAAAAGGAAAAGAAACCTTTATTATTTCTGGTACTCTCTTCTAGCCTATAGGGTAACACTGTACACCAAATAAATCAATCAATCAATCTTTTAAAAAAAAAGAAAAGAAACCTTTATTATTTCTTTGTTATTAGAGTCATGTCTCTAAAGTCCTGCATTTATATTTAAAATAACAAATTTGCAAGTAGAGGGCAGAGAAAAGATAAATTAATATGTATGTTTGATTTTACTTAATATTGGCTATACATGCATTAGTAAAAAGAAACAAAGATGAGGTGCTGGCAGCCTTGCTCTGTGTTTAGATCCTACCTGGATCACTAAGCAAAAACTTAAATGGCGCTCTGAAGAGCCTTCATGAAGGACAGTTAACAAATTAAAGAGTAAGGTGAGCCAGCCAGCTGTTTTGAGGTATCAGAAGTGAAGTCAAGCAGAAGCTAGGTCACCAGAGTTTTACACTCCATTAACTTGCAAGGATCTAACTTTTGTTTTTATACTACTATTAAGTTATTAAAAATTACATGTTAAATATATGTAACAATGGTAACTAAAATATAACACATTGCATATTTAAAGTTTGGTACAAATATAGGTTTTAAATGTTTTACTTTATAAAATGGGTTAAAAAGTGAATTTACTAGTCAGCTTGATTTAATCATTCCACAGCATCAACATATCAAAACATGATATACACATTAGTGCCTGTGTGTGTGTCTATACACACACACACACACACACAATGATTTTTATCAATGAGAAAAAATTAGATATTAGTTCTAGGGTTGTCTTTTATAATGTTAAAGAGTTATAGATAACAAATAATGCTGATTTTATTCAGGAAATTAAAGTGTAAATATTTGTTAGGTAAACATTTGTCTTTGTCGTAGATTTATTTGTGTGTGTGTGTGTGTGTGTGTATATATGTGTGCATCATGGTACACTTGTGGAGGTCAGAGGACAGCTTTGTACAGTCATTTCTGTCCTTCCATCTTTACATGTGTTAAGGTTGCTAGTTCACATAACAGGCACCTTTACCTACCGACTCATCTCGCCAGCCTTCTATCAATCTCTGGTGATTGTAGTTTATAAAATTCTTAAGTAGTTCTTTGAAGTCATGTAACAAATTAATTTTCAAATAATATAACTAGTTTGGTCTTTAAAAATTAAATGGTTGACAGAATAGTACTATTGATTAGTTAATAAGGTCAACAGTGGTTTGGCATAGGTCATTACAACTCAATCCAGACCCAATTTTTCTAGGTGTCATTGGTCCTGAATCGAGTTAGGCAAGAACAGTTGCTGAGATCATCACAGATTTATTTCTTTAGTGAAGCCTGAAAATGTCAGTCATTCAACAAATTGTGTACTACCCACTTGTTCTTTAGACTGTTGTAATTCTTCATGGTAATCAATAAAAATCATAAGTTACATACTTTGTCAGGTAGCATTTTTATGATAAACAGAAGAACCAGAAGGAGACTACTTTAAGGAAAGGACTTGCAATTTTAACATTAAAACTCTAGCACAGGCCAAGCACAGTGAAGCATGCCTGTAATCCAAGCACTCAGGAGGCTGAGGCAGAAGGAAAAATTTGAGACCAGCTTGGCCTGCATAGTTAGGTCCTACTTCATTAATATGGTAGTAAGGAATGAAATTACCACAAAGACATAAAGGATATGAGTATCCATGTGAGCAAGGGCACTCCAAACAGAATGGCTAAAGCACTGAGCCTAAGACAGAAGTATATTTAGCATGTTTGGGGAACCTCAGACATGTATTCTCAGTGAAGTGGAAAGATGTGCAGGGTTGTGATCATATTTCATTGATAAGACTTGAGTTTTACTAGGACTGTTGTGACTGCTGTGTTGAGAGATGGGGTAAGCAGAGCTCAGTAGAAGCAGGGCTAGACGCCAACTGTGGTTGGTCTTTAGACTCGGGAGCTGTGCTAAGAGTAACTTACTCCAGAGTCTACGCTAAATTTCAGTCCTAGCTCTTTTACTATTGGAATAAGTGACTGTATTTTATTTCTTTATCTCCTAATTGCAAAATAAGAGTAAAATAATATTTTATACAATCATAGTAATAATTAAAGTCATAATAAAGCACTTTGGACATGTCCTGGAAATGTAAACCCACAACAACAGTTGGTAGTTTGCATGTCAGCATTACCGTCCTGTGTACCATTTGTTTCCACTGCCACATAGTTTAACGTTGGTCGTTTCCTTTCCATACATGTGTGAGCATCGCAGTTCAGACCACAGAATCTTGCCTGCTCTTTTACACTCCTGTCTAACTGACTTCCTTTCTTTCTTCCTGTTCCAATCAGTCTTGTACATTCTTGTTAAATTATCACATCCTTTTATGTTCTGAAACCTTAATTCTTTTTCTCTTTGGTTATGGACACATTCACTCAGGGTATCCTGTAATTCCAGCTTTCCCTTAGGCAACACAAGTATACACTTTTGCATACCTTTCCTCACGCTGTGTGGCTTCTTTGCCATTCAAAATACCTTTATTTTTACCTCAGAACACTGTGATCTGTACCTTCTACTTCAATTCCAAATGTTTCAAATAGTTTAGATTAAGAATTCTAGTGATATTCCTCACTTTGTACTGACTTATTTGCATACTTCTCTGGTCTCTAACTTTAGAACATTAGATACAAGGTTTAGCATCTCTTTCATCTTTGCATATATATTCTACCATAGTTAACAGATATTTAGTAGATGTTTTATATTTACAGATTTATTCTCTTTTAATTTGTTGTTTTGCTCTAGAAATGATCGACAGGATCAAGTGGCTGAGCTTGAATGTGAGGAAAACATTATCCCAGATTCACCAATAACATCCTTTTCATTTTCTGCCATTAACCGACTACGAAAAAAGGAGAATCTCCATGTCCGATACATAGAACAAACACATTCTAAATTGGAGCACTCTGTATGTACAAATGGTAAGGGTCAGAGTTGTGTTTTAGCTGCTTTTGTAAAATCTTCACTTACTGTTTTTATGTAATCTGGTTTGGGGGAAGGAAGATGAACGGTGTTCAGATAATCAAGGATATCACTGTGACTTTAACTTCCTTTAGTAAAATGACTAATGGTATTTTTCTGCTGGCATTAAATACAGACATGAGCTGTATGTCTATCTGAATATGTGCATAATTTATGTGTGTGTTTGTGTCTGAGTAAATATATATGTGCCTGGAGCTCATCTGTGAGGTCAGAATAGAGTGTTGGATTCCTTGGGACTGGAATTACAGGAGGTTGTGTGCTACATGCCTTGTGGATGCTGGGAACCAAGCCCAGAAACTGCAAAAGCAGCAAATGCTCTTAACTGCTGATTCATCTCTCCAGCCCTCTGCATAGATTTTTTTTTTAATGTATACACTTCATTGAACTTATTTCTTTTTTCTTTTCGAGACAGAGTCTCTCTGTACGTACCCTTGACAGTCCTGAAACTTACTCTATAGATCAGGTTGGCTTCAAACTCACAGAGATCGGTTGACTCTGCCTCCAGAGTGCTGGGATTGAAGGCGTGTGCCACTATGCCTGGCTTAATGTTTCCCTTTTTTTTTTTTGAGACAGGATTTCTCTTTGTAGCCTTGGTTGTCTTGGAACTTGCACTGTAGACCAGGCTGGTCTCCAACTCAGATCCCCCATCTCTGTCTCCCAAGGGCTGGGGATTAAAGGCATGCTCTATCATGCCTGGCTTGTGAAAACTTTTTAATTCCATCCCAGTTTACTATGTCAGCTAAATGCTTCAAAAATTACTTTCTCAAGTGGTCTTATACTTGTAGCTTATGTGACATGACATTGTGATTGTTTTTTAATTGCCTATTTAAACTTAAGAACAAAGACCAATTCTTAATCCAGAATATTTTAAATGTTTTGAAAAAGGAGGTCTGTTAAATTGTAGAGATATTTGTATAAAGTGAATACTTTATGCTTTAAAAAGTAAGTAGATCTATGTGCCTGGAGAGGTGGCTTAGTAGATAAGAGCAATTTAGTTACCAAAAAAACCACATAGTATAACACAGCCATCTTTAATTCTAGTTCCATGAGACTCATTTCCCTTACCTGGTCTCCACAGATATCAGGCACATATGTAAATACACAGATATACATGCAGACAAAACACCCAGATACATAAACTAAAAAAAATAAATGAATCTAGGATTCTGGAGAGATGGCTTAGTGGTTAAGAGTACTTGTAACTTGTGCTTGCATAGGACCTGGGTTCATTTCCAGCACCTGCATGGTGGCTTACACCCATCCATAACCCAAGTGCCAGGGATCTGATTCTGACATCTGTGGGCATGTGGTATATGCAGGCAAGACACACATACATATAAATGTGTAAAACAGATAAATCTTAAAAATTAATTAGATCTTTATTCTTTGAAAGTGTAAATAAGTGTTATTACATTTGTACTGAAAGTAAAAGTGTACTGGTCCCATAAAGAGACCCGGAAAACTAGACTAGAATTAAGTGGAGAAGATGATGAGAGGCAGGGTACAGGACAACACAAAAGGCCCTTTGAAAAACCACATGGAAACCTGCTACTGTAGAAGTTTCCTAAAATATATACAACTGTGGAAGGAATTTATATAGAGTCACCATATATCGGGGGAGACAGTGTCCCAACTAGACATCTTAAGCCACCAAGTAAAACTTCCAGTGCCAGAAATGGGTTACATCTAGTTGAATTGTTGGCCACCACCTCACAGACATCACGGGCTGTTTCCAAGGCTGTTGGCTGCTCTCCGTAACCTGATGGTAAGGCCCTCTTGCTGGAGACACAACTTATTTATGTTATTGAACAGGAAATTGAGTTGGTGCCCAGCTAGAAACTTTACCCCTCTTGACTAGCTAGCATTCATGGTTCTGGAAGGTTTTATGCACTAGAAGAGGAGAAAAACAATCACTTTCACCCAAGTACAAAGCCTGCAGTCTACAGCAGACATCTATCTGCCTACAAAACAATAGTGGCACAAATGTTATGGAAGTAATCAGTCACTTTTTTTTTCTCTGTAATCAAATATTTAATCTCATAAAAACCTTTGCCCGCTTAATGTAAATCCCTTGTAAATAATACATTAAAATGAGCACAACGAGGTTATTGCAGGCAGGACAGCTCCCTTCCTCTGTAGACACAGGTCGTATATATTGTTATTTCCCTGGGCTTCCATGTGTTAGCTTGTTTAATCCTTGTAAGTCAGTAGAAAGTGTTATTAATTTTACAGATATTGTAACCACAGGGAGGTTAGGTGACTTGGCCCAAATCACACAGCTGCTCAGTGACAGAGCTTGGTTTTGGATCCAGGTGGCATGACTGGAGTGTTTAATTGACTCCTGAGTTACATCACTTCATTCTATACAAAAGTAAGACTTTGCTGCCCAAAGTATGGTCCTTAGATGGACGACATGATCATGATCATCTTCTGGAGTTAGTTATAAAGGTCACATCTGGAACTCTACTGCAGCCTTACAGAATCTCCATTGGAAAAGGATTACCAGATGGTATACACACGTGCTTAGATAGGGCTCTAAGCTCTAAGTCAGTGCTTTATAGACAGAAATGTATTTACCAGCAGTTTAATCAGTCACTTTTTGATTGGATTTAGGGCCTACTTAATGAGATGGAACCCCTACCTGATGCTACTAATGTGGACAAGAACCTGGAACTAGATAGGTTATGGATTTAAGGGGAAAAGCTACTACTGTTATTCTGCCAAAGGCATATAGCAATAAAATTACTCCTGCTGACATATTGCTGTACCTATAGAGCAGAGCATTTTTAAGTCCCTATCAGAGAAGCTTCTTGCAATAGATGGCAATTAACAAAGATGTACAACTGAAAACATTCAGAGAGTGAAAGAGTTTGAAGCACTTGACCCTAAATGGGATGTCTTTATCAAATTTATATTGTGGAGGCTCAGGGATGTGTACAAAAGAAGAGGCTGAAAGATTGGAAAGAGTCAGAGGTGGTAGATGACTCCAGGAAATAGATTCTTCAAGACACAGCAGGACTGACACACATGAACTCACAGAGACTGTGACAGTGCACACCAGACCTGCAGAGGTTTAAACTAGACCAGCTTCCAGCACTGAGAATGGGAAGTGGGCACAAAGGCCTATCCCTAACTAAGAAGCTATTTGCAGTCAATAACTTACTGGGAGAGGAAGTGTCACTAGGTTTATCAACCACATTCCAGGCAGGCCTCATGCCCAGGAGTAGTTAGTTAGCCAACACAAAACAAACTCATTCCATGGGTTGTTTTGTTCGTTTCAGTGTGTGTGTGTGTGTGTGTGTGTGTGTGTGTGTGTGTGTGTGTGTGTGTGCGTGCTCACTATTTTTTTAATTTACTTTGTTTTGATGGGGTTTTAGAAATTTTTTTTCCGGGTTTTGTTTTTGAGAGCAAGAATATGAAGTTGAATTGGTAGGGAAGATTTGGGTGGAGAGAGTCTATGATTAAAATATATTGTATGAAAATTTTTAATAGAAATTAAAATTCTAAAAAAATTTGTTACATCTTTATTTGAAAAATATAAGACTTGGCAGTTTCTTCCAATTGTGAGTTTTCATCACCATCTAGTGGAAAACAAAAGAAATGTTTTTAAATCCTTCATCTAATTGGAGTTAACTTAACATATAAGACCCTGTGTCTTAAGTGAGCATTTATTGATCTTTAAGTTTGGGCAGAATATGAACCGTGATCTATTCATTTGAATGTATAGAAAATGGCTGTGGTGATTTCATTAGTAGTCATTTGTATCCGTAAGTGTTCTGTCTTATTTCCTAATTGTAGGAAACAGGCGTATAACATAAATACTTTAAAACCTAGTTTTAATCTTACTCTTCTTTTTTTAACTTAGAAAATAAGAATAATAAGAAATAATTTAATGACTTAATTAGTGTGATTCTTTTTATCATATTTACTTAACAGTTTTTTAACACTTTTTAGTTTTCAAGTTATAATTAAAGTACAGCTCCATTCCTTTACCTTGTCCTTTTGTCTTTGAACTAAGTCTTTAAGTAGTAAAAGTATTTCCAATAAAGCACACTTTAGAGTTTCCTTTTAGGACAGATTGTAAAGAAAGACGACCCAATAACATGTTCACTAAACGTAGTACTTTATCCCATAGAAGGAAAGTGTCTGAACTGTCACTACCTAGGTGACTTCGGTCAGAAGAAGCTAACTAGTTCCAGTCCCCTCTCTCCCAGTATCCTAGCCTGCGCTTTGTTTCTCAGTGAAACGTAAGACTTGTGAGAATTGTGTCAATAAAATAGTGGTTGTAATGCATTAAAGGCAAATTTATATTGACTTATCAGAATAAAGCTTGATAACATCTTTTTCATTGTTTATTACGTAACTTTTTTTTTTCTCAGAATTAAGAAAAATTTCCAAGGCTTTAGCTCCTGCACCACATAACTCTGAGGAACATGAAATTCTAGTAGCCGACACTTGCAATCAGAGTCACTCACCCCTGTCTAGTAAGTAGATACTGAGGTTTAAGTTTAAGACTGTGATTGTTGGTAGGCAAAAATGACCAACAGTCAGAATTAGGCAGTATTTTAAAGGTATGGGAGGGTTGTTGTTGTTTTGATTTTGTTTGTTTGTTTGAGACAGGGTTTCTCTGTGTACTCTTGGTTGTCCTGAACCTGCTATGTAGACCAGGTTGGCCTCAAACTCAGAGATCCATCTGCCTCTTCCTCCTGGGTGCTAGGATTAAAAGTGTGTGCCACCACCGTCCGACTTTAAAGCTTTGTTTGAAAAAGTAATGTTATGCTAGTATTAATTCATGTTCCTATCGAATCTAATACTAAGTTCTAACAGTTTAAGTAAAAAGACTTTATTTTGATTTATTTCTTCATCCATTAAGTATTTAAGAGTCTTCTGTGTCAGGCACTAAACAAGGCCTTTGCTGTTTTAGAGATTTCAGTCTGGTGATGGGAGAAGGAAAACAAAATTATGTCAGGCAAAGTCAAGGATGTACTGTTACTGCTGATTTTGCCCCTGTTAGGTCTAGAATTCCAGTGATCCTGAGTGGGAAAAGTGACCAGATAGAAGGGTTCCAGGATCTCCAGCACTCCTCAGCTGCAAGGGAGAGCTGCTGAGTTTTCAGCACCGTTGTTAAGAGTTAAGATATGGTGTGAGTTGGGACCTTGGCAGTTGGGTGAGGATCACATTGGGTGACAGAACACTGTGCAGAGAGAGCTTGAGTGTGGAGTTGAGAAGAGGCTATAGGGAGCGTGGAGAGAAAGGAGGGAAGGGAGAGTCACAAAGACAGAGAAACAGAGGCAAAGAGGAAGCAGAAGAGAGGTAGAGCTACTTGCTTCTGCAGGAATAAAGAGATTGGAAGTGCACAGAACTTGCCTCTTAAAGGGACCTTTGCCCCAATGTACAGTCAGGGAGCTACTTGCCATGGGGTACCAGGTTCCCAATTCTAAACATCCTCCAAATTTTACTGATTTGTGCTGTCTCCATGTCTGTTTATGAGATCTCTGTACTGATTTGTACGGTCTCCATGTGTGTTTATGGGATCTCTGTACTGATTTGTACGGTCTCCATGTGTGTTTATGGGATCTCTGTACTGGTTTTAGCCACCAGCATCATTGGAACTGTTTTAAGTACATTGCTTCATTCTCCTGTCAGAGTTTGCTTCTTGGCCGTGAGTCTGTCATAGTCAGAATTACCCTTTTTACTTGAGTATTTACATCTGGACTGTCAAAATATGGATCTTTTCCTTGTTCACAAGAGAAATTCTGAATTCTTTTTTGGTTTTTCGAGACAGGGTTTCTCTGTGGCTTTGGAGCCTGTCCTGGCACTAGTTCTTGTAGACCAGGCTGGCTTCGAACTCACAGAGATCCGCCTGCCTCTGCCTCCCAAGTGCTGGGCTTAAAGGTGGGCGCCACCACCGCCCGGCTGAAATTTTGAGTTCTGAAGCATAATTTGACCCCTAATTCACAGGTTTGGGCTCACGTCCTTCTACTTTCATCTTCCTGGCTACAATTCAGTTCCTGGCTATTAAGTCACATGTAGTCCTCTGAACAGCAGGTTTTTTTTTTTTTTTTTTTTTTAATATATATCTTTATCCTTAAAGATACCTAAAACTTTATTTCTGTTTTCCCAATCTTGTTAAATGGCCAAACTTCCCTTTACCTTAGGGGCCACTTTAGGCATCAGTTTGTATAGTTTGTCTTAACTTCCCAAGGGAGATTTAGGGGCCTGCGTTTAAAACTTTGTTATATTTTTTACATTTTTTTTTGCAAATTCTTTTTTTCCCTCTTAGAAAACAGAAATTCTGTTTTCACCTTTCAAGTGTAATCACTAAGCTCCTTGAGAAGAAAACATATAACATGCTTGTGCTAAAATACCTGTAACCCATAGCTGTTTATAGAAAATATTTTGGACCTTTTGAACCGAGTTTAAAATTGGTTCACTGCCATCTTAAAAATAGTACCTTGGTTTCTTTGTTTGCTTGATTGCTTGTTTGCTTTTTGCTAATCTTTTTTGTTGTTGTTAATACCTTGATTCTTCTCCTAATCTTTTTTTTTTCAATATATCTCATCTCTAAAATTGTGTAGTGAGCATTCTTTGTTCTTACTTTAGAAATGTGTGGAAGGAGCAGTTATCCCACTGATAAGTCAGCTTTCAATCTAGACACTGTTGTCGCTGAAACACTTGGACTTAATGCTCAAGAAGAGTCTGTAAGTAATCACTTAGTTTGATTATATAAATTATTAATAACTGATATGTCTACTTGGATCTATCTTTAAGAATTAAACAGGCTAGTAGAATATGCTGAAGAAGCAGAAACAGAGGGACTGTGAGAATGAGCAGGAGGACAAAACATTTTTAATTTTACTTAATTAACTTTTTTTCATTTTTTTACATAAAGACTACAGTTTCCCTTCCATTATCTCTTCCTGTTCCCTACCCACCCCCACCTTCCCATCCACTCCTCTTCTGTTGTGAGCTGCCTGATTTGAGTGCTGGGAATCAAATTCTAGTCCTCTAAAAAAGGATGTTCTTAACCACTAAGCTGCTTCTCTAGCCCAAAACTGTAGAGTTTTAGTCTCTTTGTTTGTAGTACTGGGTATTAGAACCCAGGGCTTCACAAATACTGGGTTAAGTTCCATTTTGATACAATTTTAAGGACTGAGGATTTAATTTAGCTCAGTGGCAGAGCATTTGTCAGGGCCCCAAGTCTGATTGCTAGTCCTACAAAAACAAGCAAATGACAGTTTTAGAACAGTCCTCCTTTGCTCTTGCCAGTGAATATGTGAATGCTCTTAGAAAATTGTCTCACTCTTGTATTCCGAAAACCCAAGTTGATTTTTTTCTTTACATTTGTTTTAACCTTTTTCAATTTATCCTAAAGTGACAGTGGTAACTTAGCTTTTGAACATTTAAATGTATTTAATAGTTTCTAGTTCTTACTATTCTCCATAAATCTACCAAGTTCAAGTATCAACTATATATTAAAGGAAAAGATATCAAAGGACTTTTCATATAGTCTGTTTCACAGGTCAGCAACATCTTTATTATTCTTGAATGTGTTATAGGCACAGAATCTCAAATCTACTGACCTTGTGTTTTAATAATTACTAATTGATTTGTATGCACATTAAATCTTGAGAATTCCCTTTAAAGGATTCTTTTAAATTCACCTGTGTTTTCTACCCTTCATCTTAATGTATTTTGATATTGAAATATTTCTATGCAGTTGTAAATTATACTTATGTAAAGTATTAAAATAATGGTAGTATCATTTTGTATGTTTTATTGTTATAAAATTTAGATAACAAAATTAGTTAAAGTCTACAGTATAGGACTGGAGAGATAGAGGACCTGAGCTCAGTTTCCAGCAACTACATGGTGACTCACAATGAGGTCTGGTGCCCTTCTGTCCTGCAGGGATACATGCAGGCAGAGCACTGTATACGTAATAAATAAACGACTCTTAAAGATTTATTAAAAATAAAGTCTACAGTATAAGGATATTTTATACATTCACAATACAACTCCCTTCTCTGGTTAATTACCTCTTTGCTCTGGTTTCTCTTACTTCATGTACTTTTGAGATTTATTTCATTGAAGCATTTATCAACTTTAAGCATATTTTTCTATTGAAGGAACCTCAAGGTCCTGCAAGCCCTCTTGGGGGTGAGCTCTACCACTGTCTTGAAGGAGATCACAAAAAACAGCCTTCAGGAGAATCTGCAGGAAGCAGTGAAGATAGTTTAAGGTAATTTGGAGCATATAGTGTTTGTTTGTTTTGTTTTGTTTTTAATGTAGTTCCATAAACCCTTTAAGGCTGAATTTCAGCAATACTCCATGTGCCTCCCACCCCAAGTGGCTTCAGATACTCATCAGGCAGCATTAAGAGCTCCCAATCTTGCTTTATCCTATTAAAGACATAGTCATTACTTTGTGTCTCCAAACACTAAACGGTGTGAAAGATGCATTTTACGTTTGTGTGAACCTTTATGTGTGTGTACCATGTATTCCCTGGAAGGAACAGTGATCAGAAGAGAGTGTCAGATCCCCTAGAGCTGGAGTTAGAGGTGGTTGTGAATTGCCATTTGGTTCTAGGAACTGACCCTGGACCCTCTGCAAGAGTTTTTGGTGCTTTTAACCCAGTGAGCCGTATTTCTAGCCCATTTTTTTGTTTTTGTTTTTCTCTAATTTTGTAATATTTAACTAACAATATATATGTTGATAAAGCATTTTGCTTGTTTTTTTAGAGTGTTTTGTGTTTTGATTTTTTTTGTTTTGTTTTGTTTTGTTTGTTTGTTTGGTTAGTTGGTTTTTCAAGACAGGATTTCTTTATGCAGCCCTGGCTTTTCTGGAATTTGATCTGTAGTGCAGGCTGACCTTGAACTAACAAAGATCTGCCTGCCTCAGCCTCTGAGAGCCAGGATTAAAGGCTTGCACCACCACCAAGCCTTGAATTTGCTTGAATTTTTTTTAAAGATACCTCAGTTACTTTGAGTTTATCATGATAATAACTTGTCAAGTGAGTTTTATTACCCGTTTCTATTTTCTTTAAACAGATAACAAAAATATGGTTCTATAAGGTTAACTATCTTGTTGAAGATCATATAGCTGATGAGAGCACTTACCAAGCTCTGTATTCAGTTCTGTAGTTTAAGAATTTTTCTCTCCCTGGAATTACTCATACGATTTAATAATAGCAAAAGACTTTTGAGTCCTCAGCGGATTTCATTCTGTCAAATGAGGTGAAACCAACATTGTTTCTTAAATTTGTTTTAATCATCTCCCTCTAGTAGGTAGAGAGTGCTTTACTGTTCTAAGAAATGTTTTCCTAGTATACTGGTCTTTTAATGTTTATCCTGCTTTTCAGTTTTAAAAAAATCTTATATCATTCTTTATTTATTTAGATTTTCAGACTCTACTTCAAAGACACCTCCCCAAGAATTTACTACTCGGGTCTCATCTCCTGTATTTGGAGCTACCTCTACTGTGAAAACACATTTGGGTTTGAATACAAGTTTTTCCCCTTCTCTTTTAGACATTGGGAAAAGAAACTTTCTGAAGACGGCTCCCTTTAGTAACATTTCTGCCTCTAAGTCAGAGAAAGCTAGATCAAAATCTGAGGACAGTGCTCTTCTCACACCTCATAGTCTGGGGTCTGAAGTGAATAAGGTCATTAGCCAATCATTTCCTAATAAGCAAATACTTATGAATAAAAATGTAAGTGAATCTGTAGATGAGCAGAGCAGTACAGATCATATTAAAGATGTTATTACTGATAAATATTTGGTGCCTTTGAAATCACTGGGCGGCAAAGCATCCAAAAGGAAGAAGACTGAGGAAGAGAGTGAACATGTAGTAAACTGTCCCCCGACCTGTTTTGATAAGGAAAATACTCTTCCTTTTCCAATGGAGAATCAGTTCTTCATGAATGGAGACCATGTGATGGATAAACCCCTGGACTTGTCAGATCGGTTTGCAGCTACCCAACGTCAAGAGAAGAGCCATGGAAATGAGACTTGTAAAAACAAGTTTAAACAAGTGACTATTTATGAGGCTTTGAAGCCCATTCCAAAGGGCCCTTCTTCAGGTCGTAAAGCCTTGAGTGGAGCCTGCATATTAGCCAGAGAGTCTTCAGAGGTGTCCTGTTTACAGCAGCGGTGTATCCTCCAGGCCTCTAGTAAAGGCTCTCCGGACCATAAAACACCCCTGCAGATAAAAGAGGAAAAGCCTGTCTTCAAAACTCCTCCGTGTTCACAAGAAAGTTCGGAGACAGAGAATCTTTTTAGTGATGTGAAGGTTTGTGTTCTATGTTCATCCATTTTGATTAAAATTGTTTGTGATTTCATTTAGGTGCTAATAGTCATTTTTGTTTAGGGTACTGGTTCTCTTGTGCCAACAAAAGTAAAAAGCAGATCGATCCATGGAGGATGTGAGCTTGCATCAGTTCTTCAGTTAAATCCCTGTAGAGTTGCTAAAACAAAGTCTCTGCCAAACAACCAAGGTATGTGCATTGTAAACAGGCTCTTCCTCTTTCTAACTGCGTGACATTTACGTTCTTTAGACATAAGTTTGGGGAAAAAGAGATCTTATTTTTTCCTGCATATAGCATCATTCTCACTGCTTTCATTTTGCCTTTGATTTTCTGCTGTTATACTTTTTAAAAATTTATTTTAAATACTTTATAAGTATTTTTAGATTTACTTAATGCAGTTATTTCTTACTTCCTTTGCAAAAGCTTTTAAAAAGTGTTTTAACTATTCCATTGGGGTTTTTTTTATTTGTTTGGTTGTTTTGTTAGTTGGTTTTGGTTTTTGGTGTTTTAGAGGAACACAATACTAGAGATTGAACATGAGACCTTAAACATGTTAGATAAGCAACCTACCACTAAGCTCCATCCATAGTCCTAAACTGTCCAGAATATTTAAAAATAACTCATCACTGGGCTGTGGTGGTGCACACACTCAGAAGGCAGAGGCAGGTGGATCTCTCTGAGTTCCAGGATAGCCAGAGCTGTTGCACAAAGAAATCCTGTCTTAAAAAACAGCAGCAGCAACATCAGTAGCAGCAGTAATAGTAGTAATAGAAGTAGTAATATTAATGGTATGAATAAATACTTAATCATTCAAAACTGGTTCTTCACCCCTTCGATACTTAGCTACTGTCTTTTTTGTTTTGCATTGAAATGTTTGTCTGTAAGCTTATACATACACAAATGTAATAGGTTTTTAGCTTCTTGTTTAAATCTTGTACTTGCTTGTGTGTGTATATACATGCATGTGCACATCTGTATAGGTACACATGTAGGTGGATGTATGCCTGGTATATTGCTACTTAGATGCTGTCCACCTTATTTTTAGGTGGTCTCTCATTGGCCTGGAACAATGCCTGGGCCTGCCCGCAAGCCCCAGGGATTTATTAGTCCTCTGTCTTCACCATACCTATCTTTTTACATACATTTAAAGGCTCTTCCTTGCACAGCCAGCACTTTGACTTCTGAGATGTCTCCCAAGCCCAGTTCCCCTCATCTGTCTAAATGTCCTTTTGTTTCCAGCCCCTCATAACTGCTGTGCTTCATATGCAGAGTTTTTCTTGTTTTCATCAGTCAAGTTTTTATTCTTTTATAATTGACTTATTTCCATTTTCCCCTGAAGCACATGATAGTTCTTCTTACACAGGTTTCAGTCCCTAAGTGGAAAAAAGTTTGGTTTTAGTTTTTTGTTTGTTTTTTCTGTCATTTCTGATTTTTAGCTTTTTGTGTTTATTTTTGTTTCATTATTCCTCTAGGAATCACACTATAACTATTAACTTTCCACAGTCTGTTTGCAGTTAGTATTTTGCTCCATGGCGGGGAGGGGAAGGTCGAGACAGGATTTCTCTGTGTAGCCCTGGCTGTCCTGGAACTTACTTTGTAGACCAGGCTGACCTCGAAGTCACTGATCCACCTGCCTCTGCCTCCCTAGTGCTGGGATTAAAGACATACACCACCACCCAACTGTTGTTTCATGTTCTTAAACTACAGTTTGTAGTTGTCATATGTTATATCTACATATAATACACTCAAAATTCTAACAATTTTACAATTCTGTCTTTTAAACAATTACTTTAGTGAAATACAAATCACTTATCATGTCCATTGTGTCCAGTCCAGTGGTTTTGGTATTCTTAAAGAATTGTACAGCTCTCTGTACAATCGAAGTTTATCCATCTCCCAAGCCTTTCCATCCTTCCCAATTTTGGTTATCAATGCTCTAATTTTTATCTCTGTAGATTGAAATATTGTAGATGTTTTATGTGAATAGAGACCTATTTAATATGAAATCTTGTAACTTCTTTCCCTTGGCATAATGTTTTCCTTTGACTTTATTTTACTATTATTGTTGCATGTGTGATGTGTTTCTGAATGTGAATGTGGACGTGTCACGACATGTAGGTCAGAGGACAACTTCGTGCAGTCGGTTCTCTCTTCGAACTTTCACATGGGTTCCAGAGTTCAAACTCAGGTCATCATGTTTGCATGGCAAGCACCTTTACCTGCTGAGCCATCTATCTCCACACTGACATGGTATTGTCAGTTCCCAGCCTTTGTGTATGTGTCAGCATTCCATCACTATCTACTGCTGAGTCAGATTTCATTATAGACAGTCATGTTTTCATCCGTCAGTACAAATTTGCTGTCATTGTTATCTTTATGAATAATACTGCTATGAACATTTGTGTACAGATTTTTCTGGAAATAGGTGTTTCTTTTTCTCAATTTACCTGGGATTAAAATTGCTGGACCTCGTATCAGCTATTAGCCTTTTAAGAGACTTTCTGTTTCCCAAAGCAGCTATGCCATTTCACATTAACACTGTGATTGTATAACGGTTTCAGGATTTCCAAAAATATATATACACATGCACACAGTTTGAGTCTAGCCATCTTAGTCTGTGAATATCTCATTTTTGTCTTTCATTTTTCTGGTTGTTCATTATATTGATAACTTTTTCATAATATTTATTGGCCATTTGAATGTCTTGTGAAATTCTTTGGCCACTTTGAATTTTTTTTTAAGATTTAAATTTTTTTTAAAGATTTATTTATTAATTATGTATATAGTGTTTTGCTTGCATGTATGCTGCAGGCCAGAAGAGGGCACCAGATCTCATTAAAGATGGTTGTGAGTCACGATGTGGCTGTTGGGAATTGAACTCAGGACCTCTGGAAGAGCAATCAGTGCTCTTAACCTCTGAGCCATCTCTCCAGCCCCCCAACATTTAAAATTTTTTATGTATATGAATGTTTTTCCTGTATGTATATTTGTACCGTGTATGTGGCTCATGCCTGCAGAGGTCAGAGGGGTATCAGATCCCTGGAACTGGAGTTATGGACAGTTATGAGCCGCCATGTAGCTGCCAAGAACAAAACCCAAGTCCTCTGCTAGAGCAGTTAGTGCTTTCACCTAGTGAAGTAATTATTTCTCCAGCTCCCTGGGACATTCATTTCTGAGTAAGTGCTGCAGGAACCTAATATTTCTGTTCTGTGCATTCCTAACATTTTAAAATGAAACAAATTTTCAAATTGGGTTTTTAATTTGTGCCTGTCCTCTTTTTCTAAGATGTGTCCTTTGAAAATATCCAGTGGAGTGTTGATCCCGGAGCAGACCTTTCTCAGTATAAAATGGATGTTACTGTAATAGATACAAAGGTATGTTAGAAAATGAACTAAAGCCCATTTGTGTCTTACTCTAGTGAGTTAGCAGTCCCCTCTCCTTGGAATACTGTTTTACTCATTTCCTTTATTGTGTATGTGTGCATATGTACAGTACTGCACACCATGTGAATTTTACATCATATATGCAGAGGTCAGAGACAAGCCCTCAGGATTTGGTCCTCTTCATCTACCATGTGAGTCCTGGGGATCAAACCCAGGTTATCAGACTTGTATGTTTACCCCCTGAGACAGTAGCTGTATTTATTAAATAGCAAAGAATTATAGTTACATATTTCAAGTGATTTTACCTTTATCATATGTTCTTAGTTGTTTAGATAGGATCTTATTATACAACCCAGGTTGGTCTCAAATTTACTCCTCTTGCCTCAATCCTACACGTGCTGGGATCACCATGCTAATAATTCCATCATGTGTCTTGATTAGCTTTAATGTTTTTATTTTTTATATTTATTATGCATATGAGTTTTGCCTACATGTGTGTTTGTGTGCCCCATCTGCCTGAAATTGCCTTCAGAGGTCAGAAGATGGTGTCAAATCCCCTGGAGTTGGAGTAACAATTGGTTGGGAGTCGCCATATGAGTACTAGGAACTGAATCTGGGCCCTCTACAAAAGCAGCGAGTTAACCACCAGGCCATCCTCTTTCTAGCCACCTTAATTAGCTTTAAAAAAGAAGGAATGTTGTCAAGACTTTTTTTTCCCCAGTTTACTTTTTTTAAAAGTAACGTTTTTGTGTTTATATATGAATGTTCAAGAGAAGATCTCACTAAGTAGCTCTGACTGTCCTGGAACTAGCTCTGTAGGCAAGGCTGACCTTGAACACTCAGAGATCCACCTATCTCTGCCTCCTGAGTGCTAGGATTAAAGGCACATGTCACTACACCCAGCTATGGTGTTTTGTTTTATTTTGTTTAATTTGTACTGGAAATATGATTTTGCTTTGTGTTCAAGTTCTGTATAGTTAGTGAAATTCTCCTACTTGGTGGCACATTAAGAAATTAGGTAGTTTATTAAAGTAGCATGTAGCTATGAAGAAATCAAATTTGACTATTAAAGTTGCTTTTCATGTTCACTGAAGTTTATTACTGCAAGGCAGATTGGAGATGGTAAGTAAAGCACAAAGGATCAGTGGTAAATAAATCTGTCTTTCCGTGGTCAGTTTTCCTTTTCCTCAGATTGGCATGAAGAGCTTATATATTGAGGTTAAAGTGTTCCAGAAGCAAGAAAATCTCTATCTATTCCTGAGATACAAAAGTAATAACTTAATGCTTTAAAATTGTAAAGTTTGTGGAGAGTTTTTAACCTTTTTGTGGTTAGAAGCGCAGATATAAGACTATGAAGGAATAATTGCTAAACTTTTGTGTTTTTAATATATTTATTTAGGATAGCAGTCACTCACGATTAGGAGAGACGGTGGACATGGACTGTACATTGGTCAGTGAAACCGTGCTTTTAAAAATGAAGAGACAAGAGCCAAAAGAAAAATGTCCAAGTAAGACTTACTTTGATTTCGTTTACTTTAATCAGATGTGAAATGAAATGTATAGTTGTATCATAGTGATAAGTGCAGTAAGTTTGTGATCTCGATTTTGGGACTTTTTCTTATTGAAAACAGATTTTCATACAATATATTCTAGTCACATTTTCCTTCTCCCCCAACTCATTTCAGATCTTCTCTACCCACTCAACTCCATGCCTTCTTTCTTTCTCTAGAAAAATCAAAAGGAAAAAAAAAACACAAAAACATAAAATATACAAGCAAAATACCAATAAGACAAAAATTTCCCAAACAAAGTTGTGTGAGACAAAAATCTTAAAAAATACCATTATGTTCATTTTATGTTGGCTAACTATAGCCAGGCATGGGGCTGCCCCAAAATGTAGGTAATATAACCAATGAGATTCCATTAGAGAAAACTGTTTTTCCTCTGCAAGTGGTTATCAGTTGCAACTAGCTCCTTGGTTAAGTGTAGGAGCCTTGGTCCACTTCCTCCTCTCAGTGATGGGACCCCATCTGACTGGAACCTGTGCACGCAGGTCCTGTGCATACTGCCAGTCTGGGTTCATGTGTGCACTGGTCTTCACTGTTTCCTTGGAGTCCTCCATCACCTCTGGCCCTTGTAGTCTTTTCACCTCCTCTTCCACATAGATCCCTGATCTCTGAGGGACGTTTGATGAGGGCATCTTATTTAGGACTGGGTGCTCTGAAGTCTCTCACTCTCTGCACATTGTCCACGTGGGACTCTGTATTAGTTCCCATTTATTGCAAGAAACTTCTGTGATAATGGGTGGGCAGTACTGACATGGGTATAGCAGAATGTACTTAACAGTCATGTTATTGCTGTGTTCCTTTAGTAAAACAATAGTATGTGGTTTTTGCCTAGGTCCATGGCCAGTTCAGTTTCTTGGCCACCCTAGCAGTGTCACGCATGGGTTCCATCTCATAGAATGGGCCTTCCACCCAGTCAGAGTATAGATGGTCCCCCCCACAATGTATATGCTGGGATATCTTGAAGGCTGGTCACCATTGTAGGTCACTGGGTTTGTAGCAGGTTTGATGATTAACTTTCTCCTCTGGTAGCATGCAGACTACCTTCCACTGCCATGAATACTAGTTGGTAGGTGTTGGCAGAGGCACTGGTTCATTTCCTGCTGCCCTGACCCAAAGTAATCACACAGAAATTGTATTATTTGCAATACTGTTTGGCCAATCGCTTAAGTGTCTTTCTAGCTAGCTCTTATATCTTAAATTAACCTATATTTATTAATCTGTGTATCACCACGTGACTGTGGCTTACTGGGCAAAGTTACCGCGGGCTCTGGTGGAAGCATCTGTCTCCTGTGGCAGCTACCTGGCTTTTCCCTCATTTGTTCACCAGCCCCACTCTGAGCTCCCAGATTCAGTTTGCTTTTCCCACCTAGCTCTATTTGTTAAGCCATTGACCTAAAGCAGCTTCTTTATTAACCAATGGCAATAAAACTTACAGCATACAGAGGAAAATCCCACATCACCTCTCCATTTCTGTTAAATAAAAAGAAGGTTTTAACTTTGACATAGGAAATTTACATACAACAAAACAGGTATCAAGCAAGAATTATAGTTAAAAAATTTATACCTACTTAATCTTTTTTTCATAACTAAGGAAAACTATAACTATCTATTCTTCAACTCCATCAAAGACTCCAGAAGGATATAACATTACCTAAGTTAACAAGAAGTCCATTGTAAGCAACTTCCAAAACTCTAGAATTGGCAGAGACATCTCACCACCTGGACAGTCATTCAAAGGTCTTCTGTAACATTGGGTACCCATCTTCAGCCTACAGGCCCATAGTATCTGGCAGACTTTCCCATGAAGCGGGAGATTTCAAAGATAGTTGCACCTATGTGGACAGATTGTCAGTCACTTTCTTCTGTGTCCTGCAGACTCTTTCATGAAACAGAAACCCCAAAAGACTTTCTCACCTTCTGGCAAGTTCAGCAGTCATTTTTCTGTGGGTCCTGCATGTCCAGTTCATACAGCATGACATCAAGCAGTCCAGGCAAGAGCAGTTTCTTGCCCAAATGGCTAACAAGCTCCATAAGGAGCCTCTTCAATGTCCATCATCCTCTTGAAATAGATTGGGGCTGCCAGGAACATGTGTCTCATTGTCATGAAAAGACCTAAGTTCTTAAAACATTTAAATGCCATATTCTGTTAGTCTTTGAAAGATTTGAAGAATACGTATCTAACTGATAGATAGGTATATTATATCTCTATGTATCTAGAAACGTAACATTACTATAAGCTTGACTATTATAGGTGATTATATATTAACCTATATTTCTTAATTATATGTTACATATTTAAATGAGCTGCACAAACACAATACCTTAAGAGCAGAAATACATATACACAGTATAACAAAATTGACCTTAAATTTGTATCAATAGACCAAGATCCATACCAAGCAAAGTTTTCATATCTATAGCATATTCCCCTTTAAATATAACAAACATTTATAAACAATCATTTAGGGAATTTGTGAAGATGAATTCAGCACTGTGATGTAGTAGATGGGGTGTGAGTTCATTGTTTCCATCATTTTAAATTACCAGGTGCTAATAGTGATTTTTAAAAAAGAATAACTTTTTGCTACTTTGTTAGAAAAATAAAAAAATCAAGTAAAATTTTATACAGAGCTTAATATCTGGGATATATTTCTTTATATTTAGCATTTTTCATTATATATTATGGCATATTTTCTAGTTTTCAGTTTCCTTGATAAGAATTTTTTTGATTTTTGTGAGTTATATGTGAGTTGATAGAAGGGGAAAGTCTTCAACATGTGTAAGAGATCCAGTTTTGTGACAGTAACAAAAGCTAGCCTTATCGCCGTAGGATAACACTTGAAGTCACCGCAAAAGGCCTTTATAAATAAACAGACTTAGTTTATTACCACTTGTGAACCTTGTAAGAATTAAGCTACATAGAAAGAATCTCGACTTAAAGATCTCTAAGTTCTTAATTACATATATTGTAGTATGTTACTCACTTTGAATAACAAAATTCTGCTCTTTTAACATTAGAGTTTGCAACTAATATTCTATCATCTTTTTAGCATAGATGCCTCCACCTCACTCTGTATTCAGTAAAACACTCTTTACAATTGGATCTGAAGTCTGTATTCTAGCTGTGTATCTTTTTAAGTATCTCTAAACTTCCCATCACATGTATTGAGGTTCTCTATTGACAAGGTGTCATAAGCTAACAGTCGTAGAGTCACATTTGACACTATAAGCACTTCACTGTGCTCATTTATTAAAAGAACACTTGAAGATGAAACCTACAGTCCACATGTAAGAATCGTCTTAGTTCAGAATAGACCGTATCACATTACTTTTTCTTTGTTACTATTCACATTGGGCTTCACAGAAGGCCAAAGCTGCTAAGTCAATCAATACCTTTTTTATAGATGGAGACATAAAAATGAATGATAGCATGGAAGAAATGTTTGATCAGACAGCACATGAAGAATATGAATCCTGTTTGACAGATAACTTTCCCCAGGTACCAGATGAGGAAGAACCGTCTGCTGCCACAAAGAAACCAAACAGTAAATATGCTTTCTCTTTAGTTATATCTTTACCATTGTACTGAGTTCACTCAAGTCATCAACTAATTAACAGAGGATTGGTTACAAATATTAACAAAAGTTTCATGTTTCTCACATAAATTTTTTTCAGATTTTTTTAAAATTTTATGTTTATGGGTGCTTTGTCTGTGTGTATATGTTTGTGTACCACGTATGCATTTTGTGCCCTCTGATGTCAGGTTATAGTAGTGGATCTCTTGGAACTAGAATTACAGAAGGTTGTGGACCACCAAGTTGGTGCTAGGACTCAAAACTGGGTCCTCTGGAAGAATAGCCAGTGTTCTTAATGACTTGAGCTGTCTCTCCCAGTTACGTTTTTGCTTGAAATAATTTCAAACTAAGGAAATAATCCAAAAATTGGTTGAGAATTCCAAAAAGAAGTTGAGAATGTTTAACTATACCTTCTGCTGAGCACCTTTTTTAAATTTGTTTTTAATTGAGCTTTACATTTTCCCCACTCCCTTTCCTTCCTCCCCTCACCCCTTCCACCCTCTCTCTGCCTCCCATGCTTCCAGTTTACTCAGAAGATCTTATCTTTTTCTCCTTCCTAAGCAGATCCATGTATGTCTCTCTTAAGGTCTTCTTTGTTGTCTAGGATTTCTGGGGTTGTCGACTGGTTTATTCTTTGCTTTATGTCTAAAAGCCACTTATGAGTGAATACATAGTATATTTGTCTTTCTGGGTCTGGGTTGCCTCACTCAGTATGGTTTTTTGTAGATCCATCCATTTTCCTGCAAATTTCAAGATGCCTTTCTTTTTTACCTCTTGAGTAGTACTCCATTGTGTAAATGTACCACATTTTCCTTATTCGATCTTCAGTTGAGGGGCATCTAGGTTGTTTCTAGTTCTGGTTGTTATGAGTAATGCTGCTGTGAACATTGAGTGCTTGTGCTTGTGATATGATTGAGCAGTATTGCTGGGTCTTGAGGTAGATTGATTCTCCTAATTTTCTGAGAAACCACCATACTGATTTCCAAAGTGCCTGCACAAGTTTGCATTCCCACAAGCAATGGAGGAGTGTTCCCCTTATTCCACATCCTCTCCAGCATAAGCTGTCATCAGTGTTTTTGATCTTGGCCATTCTTACAGGTGTAAAATGATATCTCCAGAAGTTCCTTTATTGTACAGGATTGTTTTGGCTATCCTGTTTTGTTGTTGTTGTTGTTTTTCCATATGATGTTGAGTATTCTTTTGGGGTCTGTGAAGAATTTTTCTGGTATTTTTGATGGGCATTACATTAAATCTGTAGTTTTTTTTTTTTTTTAAAGATAGCCATTTTTGCTATGTTAATCCTACCTAGTCAAGAGTACGGGAGATCTTTCCATTGTCTGGTGTCTTCTTTGATTTCTTTTTTCAAAGATTTAACGTTATCGTTATACAGGTATTCCACTTGTTTGTTTGGTTAAAGTTACCCCGTGATATTTTATGTTATTTGTGGCTATTGTAAAGGGTAATGTTTCTCTGATTTCTTTTTCCGCCGTTTTTCATCTGTATATAGGAGAGCTACTCTTTGTTTTTAAGTTAATCTTGTATCTTGCTACATTATTGAAGGTGTTTACAGTTGTAGGAGTATCCTGGTGGAATTTTTGGAGTCACTTATGTATACTATCATATTAGGAGCAAATAGTGAAAGTGAATCTTTCCAGTTTGTAGCCTCTTGATCTCCTTTTGTTGTCTTATTGCTCTAGCTAGAACTATTATATTGAATAGAGATGGAGAGAGTAGAAGCATTGTCTTGTTCTTTATTTCAGTAGGATTGCTTTGAGTTTCTCTCCATTTACTTTGATGCTGGCTGTTGGTTTGCTGCATATTGCCTTGATTTTCGTATGTTGAACCATCCCTGCATCTCTGGGATGAAGCCTACTTGGTTATGGTTGATGTGTTCCTGGATTTGGTTTGCAAGTATTTTATTTAATATTTTTGCATCAATGTTCATGAGGGAGATTGGTCTGTAATTCTCTTTCTTAGTTGTGTCTTTGTATGGTTTGGGTATCAGGATAACTGTAGCCTTGTAAAAAGTGGTAGTGTTCCTCTGTTTCTATTGTGTGGAACAATTTGAAGGATATAGGTATTAGCTTTTCTTTGAAGTTCTGGTAGACGTCTGAGCTGAAAGCCCTGGGCTCTTTTGGTTGGGAGACTTTTGATGACTGCTTTTGTTTCCTTAGGTCTATTTAAATTGTTTATCTGGTCCTGATTTAGTTTTGATATGTGGAACCTGTCCAGAAAATTTTCCATTTTTTAGATTTTCCAATTTTGTGGAATACAGGTTTTCGAAGTATGACCTAATGATTCTTTGGATTTCCTCAGTGTCTGTAGTTATGCCACCGTTTTCATTTCTGATTTTGGATATTCTCTCTCTGCCTTTTGCTTAGTTTGGATAGGGTTTGTCTATCTTGTTGATTTTCTGGAAGAACCAACTCTTTGTTTCATTGATTCTTTGTATTATTTTCTTTGTTTCTATTTTATTGTTTTCAGCCCTCAATTGAATTATTTCCTGCCATCTAGTCCTCCTGGGTGAGTTTGCTTCTTTTTGATCTAGAGCTTTCAGATGTGCTGATAAGTTACTAGTGTGAGACTTTTTCAGCTTCCTTATGTAGGCACTTAGTGCTATGAGCTTTCCTCTTAGCACTACTTTCATAGTGTCCAATAGGTTTGGGTATGTTGTGCCTTCATTTTCATTGAATTCTAGGAAATCTTTAATTTCTTTATTTCTTCCTTGACCCAGGGGTGATTCAGCTAAGCACTGTTCAGTTTCCATGAGTTTGTCGACTTTCTGTAGTTAGTATTGTTGTTGAATTCTGACTTTAAGCCACGATGGTCCAATATGACACAAGGATTTATCCCAATTTATTTTGTACGTATTGAGATAGACTTTGTTACTGAGTATATGATCAATTTTGAGAAGGATCTATAATGTGCTAAGAAGGTATATTCTTTTGTGTTTGAGTGAAATGTTCTGTAGATGTCTGTTAAGCCCGTTTGAGTCATAACATCTATTAGATTCTCTATTTCTCTCTTAAGTTTCTGTCTGGCAGACCTGTCCAGTGGTGCAAGTGGGGTGTTGAAGTCTCCCACTGTTAGTGTGTGGGTGTTGATGTATGATTTAAGCTTTAGTAATGTTCCTCTTCCAAATGTGGCTGCCCTTGTGTTTGAGACTTCAGAATCTAGACTTCATCTTAATGGATTTTTCCTGTGATCTCTTTTGACTAATTTTAGTTTGAAGTCTATTTTGTTAGGTAGTAGAATAGCTACACTAGCTTGTTTCTTAGGTCCATTTGATTCTATGATCATTTCCCAACCCTTTACTCTTGAGGTAGTGTCTGTCTTTGTAGTTGAGGTGTGTTTCTTATATGCAGCAGAAGGATGGATTTTGTTTTCGTATCCAGTCTGTTAGCCTGTGTCTCTTTATAGATGAATTGAGTCCTTTGATATTAAAGGATATTAATGACCAGTGATTGTTATTCCTTTTTTTTTTTTCTTTTGGTGGTGGTGATGGTGATGTGTGTTTCTCTTCTTTGGGATTTGCTGGTGTGAGATTATCTATTGCCTGTGTTTTTGTGGGTATAGCTCACTTTCTTGGGTTGAAGTTTTCCTTCTAGTACATTTTATAGGGCTAGATTTGTGGATAGGTATTGACTAAATCTGTTTTTTTCGTGGAATATTTTGTTTTCTCTATCTATGCTGATTGAAAGCTTTGCTGGATATAGTAGTCTAGGCTGGCATCCGTGATCTCTTAATGTTTGCATAACACCTAACCAGGATCTTCTGGCTTTCCTTGTTTCTATTGAGAAGTTGAGTATAATTCTGATAGGTCTGCCACTATATGTTTCCTGGCCCTTTTACTTTCTAGCTCATAATATTCTTTCTTTATTCTGTATGTTTAGTGTTTTGATTATTATGTGGTGATTAGCACAAACAAAATATTTGTTTGGTGTTCTTGTAAGCTTCATGTATTTTCAGAGGCATGTCCTTTTTCAGGTCGGGAAAGTTTTCTTCTATGATTTTCTTGAGTATATTTTCTGTGCCTTTGAGCTGGACTTCTTCAATTTCTATTAGTCTTAGGTTCAGCCTTTTCGTGGTGTCCTAGATTTCCTGGATATTTTGTGTTAAGAATTTGTTAGATTTAACATTTTCTTTGACCAATGAATCTATTTCCTCTATCATATCTTCAATGCCTGAGATTCTCTCTTCCATCTCATGGATTCTGTTGATTATGCTTGCATCTGTAGTTCCTGATTGTTTACCCAGATTTCCCTCAGTTTGTGGGTTGTTATTTTTTTTTTTAAATTGCCTCTATTTCAGTTTTCAGTTTTGAAGCATATCTTTCATCTGTCTGATTGCTTTTTCTTGGTTTTCTTTAAGGAATTTGTTTTTCTTTTGTTTTGTTTTTTTGGTTTCTCATGACAGAGTTCCTCTGTGTAGCCCTAGCTGTCCTAGAACTTGCTCTGTAGACCAGTGTAGCTTCAAACTCAGACATCCACTTGCCTCTGCCTCCCAAGTGTTAGGATTAAAGGTGCGCATACCAACTGCCCAGTAAAAATTTTTTTCTACCCCAGTTTTTGTGTTCCCCTGCTACTCCAGGTTTCATTATTTTATTATAATTATAATAATTTATAATTATTATTTCAGTATCCATCTACCCAGTAGCTAAAAGTAGAAATGTGAGAAATCAGTTTTTACATAGTTCATTTTTTTAAAGATTTATTTAATATGTATACAGTGTTCCGTGTGCATGCCTGCATGTCAGAAGAAGGCACCAGATATATCATAGATGGTTGTGAGCCACCATGTAGTTGCTGGAAATTGAACTCAGGACCTTTAGAAGAGTGCTCTTAACCTCTGAGTCATCTCTCCAGCCCCACATACTTTATTTTTTTATTACCATCAAAATTAAATGTCGCATAATTCGTTAAGCATTATCGTTTTGTGACAGACACAGGTCATGCCAACAAAACTCCCTGAGAGTCAACTTCTAACAATATCAGAATAAATCACAGAAGAATAAAAATTAAAATCTTAATGAAAAGTAGATAGGAATTATTTGCTGTAGTGATAATGGCTTGCCTACCATGTGGATGCTGTCTGTAGATTCTCCCTTATCTAGAATGACACACAAAGCTGATTCTAGGATGAGATTTAGCCTAGGAACCAGAGGTTGGAGTGGGCAGTAGGGGTCATATTTGACTTTATTTTCACCTCACTTTTGTGCCTCGTCTGAAGCCTGGAGGTACTGTCCAGAGCATACTTTACTGTTTCTCTCTGTCCTGATCTAAAGCATTGCTGTTCCACCTGTCGTGTGCATGCCTCCTGTATTTTCTACAGAACACCAGGATGGCCTTATTTTACAAACAAATTAGATTGATTACATTATGTTTTCAGCTAGAAGTTCTTGAATGAAAAGATAATTGAATAACCAGTAAGCACATGAAACAAGTATCCAGTGTTCTTGGACATCAAATGTTGAATTCACATTCCCTGGGGTGATTAAAAACACTGACAACCAACAGGAGTTAACACAAGTGAGGAAAAGAAACAGCTTCATCATCAGTTTTGTACAGAATTAAATATATACCTATCACATTGTTTGACTCAGTTATGATGCATGCCCTAAGAAAAGTAAAAATGCAAAAGAGTTGTGCTTGTTTTTATAGGGTTAGGATTGTAGCACCGAAAAGTGTACTTATAATAGTGCCATCTTAAATGGCTTAAAAATGAAGACAGTCTACATTTCCACCAATAAGTAAATACATCAAAACAACATAGACAAACCTCCAGTTTGCTAAGCTGGGAAAATAAAAGTGATAAAGTAAATTGTAAAATTTTTTAGTATGTAGTTCTAAAACAAGCTACTTGGTGAAAAAACTCAAATTGGTATTGGGAGAGGGAGTTGAAGAGAAGTATGAGAACATCCCTGCACATGAGAAACAAAGTACTAACAACAAAGTTGGAAGTGATGGATATTTTTCAGTTTTATCATCAATTTTCTGATGAAATCTTTAATCTCTATTTTTTGAATCATAACCTGTCTTAAAGATGCATTATACAAATTAATAGGTCAAATAAGTGAGATATACTAAAATATTTTTTCTATCTCCTGCCAAATAACAGCAGACATCTAGATAGCTAAATATTTCATGTGCCAGAGTGGTGGTGTGCACCTTTAATCCCAGCACTGGGAAGCAGACATAGGTGGATCTCTTAAGTTTGAGGCTGCATGGTAAGGCCTGGACCCAAATTAATCAATCAATTAAATACTTCCCGAAATGTAATTTTTAGTTTAGTGTCTCTGAGACAAGATAATCATCACCTTTAATGGAGATAAAGAAATAAAATTTTAGTGAATTGCCTCCCAGGACTCAAATGTGAAAATCAATATAAAGGGAAGTTTGGTGCATGCTATAGTTGGTTTTCCCTAGGCAAGCTGATTATTTCTCATCAAGCTCTGCATCTTGTGACATTCTTGTTTTGTTTACAGTACATGGTGATAAACAAGAGGGAGTCAAGCAGAAAGCATTTGTGGAGCCATATTTTAAAGATAAAGAGAGGTAAGTGGGTCTCAATATTACCCATGTGTTTAGAGGTACAGTAGAGCTGACTTTGCTAGTCTGTAAGATATTTAATGATTACTTCGATTAAAATAAAATAGTTTACAAGGATACTGAGGCCATCCAGAGTTACATAGTTTAAAAAGAAGAAGAAGATAAAAGAATCATTTAGAACCAGGCTCACTCTCTAAAACCAGCACTGGGAGACAGGCAGAACAATTCACATTGCAACCAGTATGGCCTACACAGTGAGACTTTGTCTCAAAAATAAATAAATCAGTAAATCACCATGGGTCAGGGAGTGTGGGAATATAGCCCAGTGGTACAGTCTTTGCCTGACAGGCACAAGGACCTAAGATGATAAAAGCCAGGTACCGCGTGCACATCATTTACCCCAGCACTGGCCAGGAGAGACAGGTGGGTCCAGGGGCTTGTTGGCCAGCCTGTCTAACAAAAATAGCTAAGGTTCAGTTGGAGACCCTGTCTCAAAAAATGAGGGAGGCTGAGTGGGTAAGAGGGCCACTCGGATATGATCAAAATACATTGAATGAAATTCTCAGAGAAATAATAAAAAGTGGGGGGAGCGATTGAAGGCATCCTTATGTCCGCCTTTGATTTTTACATGTGCCCTCATGGGCAACATGCATATGCCCACACCTACACACACAGTGCCGTTTACTTTATACTTGTAAACAAAGAGACTGGAAGATAAGATACAAATTGTACATAGGAGGAAATTTTTACCAGTACCTCTCATTTTCAACAGTAGAAATAGTTTCTTTTATTGTAACAAATACCTTATTTTTAGTCTATTTCATTTTGAACTTTGGAAATTGTTGGAACTATGTTCTCTTTCACATGTTTAAGACTTTAGGTCATGAGCTGAGGGTGCCATGCTTCATTTTTGAGGATTTTTGAACCTTTGGAAAATTTCAGCGTCTTAATTTTGAACTTTGCTACTCTCTGCCTTTTTCACAAAGATTGTAAATTCTGTGACTTTCAGTTAATGGTCTATTTGGCTTTTTTTTTTTTTTTAAGTGTATTTAGGGGGTCTGGAGAGAAAGCTCGGCAGTTCAGAACACTGACTGCTCTTCAAGAGGACCTGGGTTCAATTTCCAGCACCTACATGGCAGCTCACACCAGTCAGTAACTCCAGCTCCAGGGGATCTGATAATGCATGTGGGCAAAACATCAATGCACATAAAATAAAAATAAATAAATTATTAAGTAAATTTAGGACTTAATACTTATTCTAAAAAACTATGCTTTTTTTCTTTATGAAGTTCTCAAAATGAGTCACTTCATAAGTTATTCTTTTTAATTACATTTATTTATGTATTGTTAGGGGAGGGCATGAGCATGCCACAGCTGTTTTATGGGAATGAGAGGACATCTTGGAGGAGGAGTTCCCCTCCTGCCATACAGGTCGCAGAGATCAGACTCAGGTCAGGTTTGGTAGCAAGTGCCCTCACCTGTTAGGCCTTCTCTTCAGCCCAAAATAAAGTCACTCTTCAACTTTCATTTCTGTTGAGTACTTTAGTAATCTAAAAGCCAAAATTTTTAATTAATTGTTTTTTAAGAACAGGATTTCATGGTATGATTTAAGTGTATAATACTGGCTGGCCTGGTGTAGCATTCGTGCTACTACATGGACTACGGTCCTGTAATGCCTGTATACGTGTACTATGACACTATGCCTGTAGCCTACCACCTGCAGTACTGGACAGGACTGGACGCTAGCTGGGAAAAGGGCTGGAGATTTTAAACATATACACACACAGACAGAGACATGGGGACACAGGTCATCCTTGAAACAAGAATGCCCCCTTTATTGTATTCAGGGACAGCTTTAAAGGGATCCTTGACTGATAGCCATGACCCAGCCAAACCAACCAGAAACCACTCTCCTGCCATCCGGAACTCCTGAGGGTCTCTGCTCAGAGCAGCTGCAAACACAGGAAAACAAGTTGTTTTGCTCAGAGCAGCTGCAAACATAACAAGTTGTTTACAGGAAATTTAGGGTCTGGGGGGTCCACAGCCCCCAACAGCCTGAAACTCAACTTTGGTAGATTAAATTATTCTCACACTCACAGAGATCTGTCTGCCTTTGTCTTCTGAGTGTTGGGATTAAAGGCCCAACCACCACACCCCACCTAAAATGAATTTTATTGATTCCTATGAGTCCAAAAGCACTAACTTGACATTTTGTCATTAAATGTTTCATTATTTTCCTTTATGTGCCACTTCCCCAAAGAAATGGAACCCTAGAATTCCCAAAAAAAATGTAAGCAGGCAGGTTTTTTCCTTTAATGTAACCACAGGTTCATGAATTTAAGCAGCTGATGTGTTTGCATCCATTGTATTTGACATGTTTGTAGTAACAGGCCCTCTTAGCACACACTACATTTACGACCCCCGGTCCTAATAGACGGTGCTGACTCCTGTATGCACAAGATTGTATCCTGTGCCTGTGAACATTTTCACCCCATTAAAAAGAAGCATTTTCCTCACATATCCAAATTGTCAGCATCACTGTCTTTGTGCTTGAGAGGCATCAAATAAACAGTAGCTCTGTGGCCAGTCTGATACCGGAAATGACTGTGGTGGGTGGCATACACAGATCAGATGGAGCATGATGGTGCAGGATTCCATTGTACTACATACAGAGAACTTCATACATGTAATGGCAGGTGGCAAAGCTGCCAATGAGGAACTACTACAGACAGATTGTCCCATTTTCACCTGTTAGAAGCCTCCTGGGTCAAACAGTTGCCTAGACCCCTTTTATAGCTTCCATGATAGAAGCTGCAAAATGTCTGGTGGAAGGGCAGTTTAGAGCACTTGACCCCTCTTCCACAGGGTGAGTTTGGTTCCCAGCAGCCATGTCAGGTGGCTCACAATTGCCTGCAGCTTCAGCTCCAGGAGACCCAGCCCTATGGGAAGCGTGCATGCTTGCACGCGTGTCATGTGTGTTTGGATACACTTAAGCAAGTGATGTTAATATAGCTGTTTTCTGCTTTATTAGTTTTCCTTTAGTTGTTTCCTTTACAATTCTGAAAATTGTAATAATGACTGTCTTCTTTTTTTAGCTGTCATGTGACTGCCGTGGCTTGTTCTCTAGCAGTAAACCCTTGTTTCATTCACTGCAAGGCTAGTGCACCTAATGATGCAGTGAATGAAGAGCTTTGTTCTGTGACTTCGAGACAGTCCTAGATTAATACGATATTACAGGGCAATAGCTTGTGCTTTCAGTGTTTCCTGAAGTAAGAGTAGCTTTATTTCTGAAGCTGTTGGGTAGCTAAGGAAACAGGAAGTGGATAAAGGTGGAAAGATGGTAAAGGTCTCGGTGATCGTGTGCTCCTCCTGCTGAGAAGTCTAGAAGACCCTGGTGTACTTGTCTCGTTGCTCTGATAAATACCTGGCAAAAGCAACATGAGGCTCACAGTTGTAAGATCTCTTGCATCACGGTTGGGAGGTCACAGCAGCAGGACTTGAGGCAGCTTGTCTTCCTGTATCCCCAGTTGGGAAGCAGAGAGCCATGAATGCTGGTGCTCAGCTCTCTTCCTCCAGTCCATGGAATGGTATCCCCCACAGCTAAGATGGGTCTTTATCTCAGCTAACCAGCACTCCTGGGCATTCCCAGAGGCAACCTAATGTTGATAGTCCTTCATAGGTGTGCCTAGAGACTGTCTCATAAGTGACTCTAGATTCTGTCAGGTTGGCAGTATTATGCATCAGGTCTGGTCAGGGACACAAAACTTACAGCCTTTTAAGTGATGCTCTCCTTGAGTCTGCCTTGGATGCCAGTCTTCTAGTGAGTACCTGCTACATGTATTATGCTCAGAGGGCATATGGTAAAAACAGATTCTACATATGCCTAGATTTCATAAATTCTTTGACAAAAATATTGTGTAGCAAAATTTTATCCACCCTTTCTTGCTCTCCCTTTTTTAATTCATGCATTACTATAGAGTTGAGGGTTTTAAAAGTTAGAATACAGAAGGGACCTCTTACTCCGTATAGTTGTAAACAGAATAGTTAAAATTTGTTTTGAAGAAAAATTCTTTCCAGTTAAAGAAACATTAAATTCCAATCAAGAAGAGTAGGTGTGTCCCCAAGAAATCATTTTAAAAATCATCTTTTGTTTCAGAGTATTTAAGTTCACTGAGAGTGTTTCTATTAGAAACAACATATATATTTTATATATGCATGTAATTTGATATTTATAATTATATATATAATTTGATAACTCTTCCATTAGTTGGCTTCATAAAGATATAAATTTGTATGTATTTATGCAAGTCATTAAACTCAGAAGGGAACCATTAAGAGGAGAGTCTTAAGGGGTAGGGGAAAGAGAGGGTGGACCACCTGTGGCAGGATAGCAGAAGGGGCACTTGACAGAGAATGGGCCAGTGAGCATAGAGAAAAGAAGGGATGGACAAGAGCAGTAGAGGAAGGGAACAAATAAGAAATCATGCATGAAGCATACTTTGTGCTGACTTAAGATTAGTCTTGAAATACTTACCAATAGTAGGCCTTTAATAAACACTTGAAAAGAATCTTTTGTTTTCATAATACACAGAACATTTCAAATGGAATGAGTGTTTGGGGATTTTTCTCTTATGAGTTCTTCTATTTTTTTTTTTAATTCAGATTTTAAACCAGAAATCTTCTAGTAACAAACAGGTTAACTTTAAATTCCTTTTCCCTCCAGAGAAAGTAGCATACAGAATTTCCCTCATATTGAGGTAGTTCGGAAAAAAGAAGAGCGAAGGAAATTGCTTGGGCACACATGTAAAGAGTGTGAAATTGTAAGTATTGATGTAACCACTTCTTTTGAATTTGATTTTATAGGTCATAAGTGCAAGCTGGATCTCATGGGGCATTTCCTCAACCGAGACTTGTTCCTCTCTGATTACTCCAGCTTGTTTCTGGTTGACACACAAACCAACAGTATAACTGACCCTGTGTCAGTTTGACACACAAACACATCACTGTTAACCTACAACCATAGCCAAGATGGCACATTAAACATAATAACATAATAAAATATAAATAACTTTAAAAGTCCCAGTCTTTTCGAAGACACAATGTGCTGTGCCCTCACACATGAGCAATTAATCATGAAAATGCCCCACAGATTTGCCTACAGGTGTCTAGGTTCCTCTTCCCAGGAGAACGCTTATCAAATACCTGTGTCAAGTTGATAAAATTAAGCAGCGCATAAATACAAACAAACAAAACCATTTGCTAGTTTTCGTAGCACAGTGTCGACCTGCTTTCCTCCTCAGTATCCAGTTCCTTTGCTGCTAACTATTGGGCATTTTATGTGCTCCTGCTAGCTGTTTACTGTAAGAGGTTTTTAAATGGTAAGAACTCCCATGTACTTAAATGTCATTTGTAGCTTACTATTTGGAAGTCTATTCCAATGTCTATTCCAAATGTATGGTAAAAGAGTATGGTAGTGACCACAAATCTCACATGTGTAAAAACAAATTTGTTTTCTACATTTGATTCCCATACTTCAGGACTCAGTCTCTTATATGTCTGAAATTTGATTTTGTTTTCTAATTTTGGTTTTGAGGAGAAGATTCTAGTTATTGTGCTTCTTGCATATATGATATCTTTCATTAAGTCCCACAGATTCTACCTTCACAAAATTCCCCTTTACATTTATTTACTCTCTCTACTACCAACACCTGGGACATACCCAGGTACTGTCTTACCCTGGACTGTTGAATACTCTGCCTTTCTTAATACACTTCACCTTTTAGAACATAAGCAAAAAGACAGTCCTAATACTGCTCACCTCTGTAGTCTTCCTTTATGTTCTTACCTCTTATTAAACACAATGGTCTTTTGTAGTTGGAGGCCATTCATTTGTTCCCGGCTGCCCAGACTTGAAATAATCACACAGAAACTATATTATTTCCAATACTATTTGGCCAGTCTACTTAACCATATTGCTAGCTAGCTCTCGTGTCTTGCATTACCCATTTCTATTAATTTGTGTATTGCCACGTGGTTGTGGCTTACTGGGTAAAATTCTATTTTGTCTCTGTCTCTGGCAGGACTACATGGCTTATCACCGATTCCACCTACTTTCTCTATTTCTATAGATAGATAGATAGATAGATAGATAGATAGATAGATAGATAGATACATACATACATACATACATACATACATACATACATACATACATACATTTCCAGCCTGGCTATATTCTGTTAAGCCATTGGGCCAAAAGCAGCTTCTTTATTAACCAATAAAAACAACACATAGAAGGACTTCCCATACCAGTCTTTTGTGGGTTTTCCTAATGATCTTTTAGAATAGAAGTTAAATCATGCCAGTACGTTTCAGTATCTTCTCAGCTTACTGCAGGCCCAGAGGTAGCTCAGTGTCCGTGTGCCAGGGTTGGCAACTGTTAGCGCAAACGTCTACTGATAAAGGAAGGCTGTGTTGATTGACGCTGTGATACAAGCTCCTTTCCTCGTTTGTGAATCAAGCACTAACTGTCTTATTATCATTATTATTACAATATCAGTATTATTTCCTTAGAATATTTAAAACAAATAGCTTTTTTTAGTTTCTAGTTTGTAATTAGTAAACACTGTTTATTATTCCCTGTCGTTATTAGTACTATGCAGATATGCCAGCAGAAGAAAGAGAAAAGAAGTTGGCTTCCTGCTCCCGACACCGATTTCGCTACATTCCACCCAGCACACCAGAGAATTTCTGGGAAGTTGGTTTTCCTTCTACTCAGACATGTCTGGAAAGGGGTAGGATTATAGAGTTTAGTATTTTAGATTTTTTTTAAAGTCTGAATATTAACCTTTTCTCTCTAACTCTATCTTGTGCTGCACATTAGGTGCTTATTCTGCAACATGCAAGTCAATTCCTGAGTCGGAAAGATTTTCCACCGCTGTGTTAATTTATTTGGGATTAGACATTGCTTATAATGTCCTTAATGGGACTGTGTATTATGAGCTTTGTCATTCAGACTCATCCTGTCAAGATGAATTAAGTAAATAAATCTTACAAAGGTTAGAATGTTGGCATGCCCCCAGTTCCTTCAAATTTGACAGTTACATTTAATATGCATCATCAAAGCTAGATTTTAAAATTTTAAATAGTGATTTTTGTCCTCACTGTCACTGATAGCACAGCACTAAGAAAATTTGAGTATACTGAATTTTCATGAAAAAGGATGCAATTTCAGAGAAGCTTTGTATATTTAACTGTAAGAAAGAAATACACAAGGTCATTGACATTGTTTCTCCTGGTCATTGCATAGAATCAGATAAGGTGGCTACACTGGTTGTTTGCCCTGTTAGCCTGGCCCAGAGCACCGTCCTCCACTGAAAATTACAGGATTGGAGATGCCTGGGGAGAACATAGAGGTGTCTCACTGAGTGGAATAACTACCACAAAAAACTTCGAGGAGAATCACCTGGAATTTGTAATAATAGCAGAGTTTGGGTTTAGCATTGTGGCCCCATATGCAAACCTATAAGGGCAATTTAGAGAAACTTCTGAGAACGCTGATACTTAGTTAGGCAGAACGAGGCCATGGTTCTCATGCTCTTCCAGTTTTGTCATCTTTAGTAAGTGATGTGTTTTCTGCAGGTCTCCACCCTCACCTGGGAAGTCAGTGTAGTAGAAGTACTTTAAGGAACATGAGAACTCTCTGAGGTGGTGAACAGGGAGCATTTTATAAACGTTTGCATAAATGAGTAGGCTTGATGAAATCATTCACCAGCATCACAAAGCTAAAACTCAGATGTACTCAGGCATTAACGATGTATCGTGAATATATATTGAAAGAATGCTATTGTTTCGTTGTTTGGATTAGTTTTGTGTTTTAAGATAGAGTTCCATGAAGCCCAGACTGGCTTTGCACTCCAGATCCTCCTGCCTTGGCTTCCTCAGTGCTGGGATTACAAACAGCCACCACGCTCATCTGCACTAGAAGAAATGCATGTTAATAATGTACTGTTCTAAATTCACTGTTTGTTTCTCAGGTTACATCAAGGAAGATCTTGATCTTTGCCCTCGTCCCAAAAGACGGCAGCCTTACAACGCAGTGTTTTCTCCAAAGGGCAAGGAACAGAGGACCTAGATGTTTGAGTCAAAGCAGAGCAGATGACCTTTGGTTTTTTGGGGTTTTTTTGTTGTTGTTGTTATTATTTATAGTTAAAGTTGTAATAAACATTGATCTTTGATTTTTTGATCTTCTATAAATTGATTTATAAATGAGTTTTCTATTAAAAATGTTTAAGCAACATTTACCTACTATACAAATAGCCATGTAAAAATGTGGATGTGTTTATTTGTTGCTGTTTTTTGTTGTTGGGTTTTTTTGGTCTTTTGTGCCTTTAAACAATAAGGCATTTCATTTTTCAGTCTAACTCAAGGGTTTTTTACTTTTGTCTTAGGGGTTCTATAGCTGTGCAGAGACACCATGGTCATGGCAACTCTTCTAAAGGAAAACATTTCATTGGGGCTGGCTTAGTTCAGAGGTCTAGTCCATTATCATCATGATGGGATGCATGGTGGTGTGTAAGCAGACATGATGCTGGAGAGGATGAGAATTCTGTATCCTGATCAGCAGGCAGCAGGAAAAGAATACCACATTAGACTTGGCTTGAGCATTTGAGACCTCAAAGGCTGCCCCGCAGTGACACACTTTTTCCAACAAGGTCACATGTCCTAATGGCGCAACACCCTAATGGTGGCCATTTTCTTTCAAACCACCATAACTTTATTTGGTAATTATAGCTGTTGAAATATGATTGTTGTAGCCTATAATTTGCTCCTTACAGGTCTTCTTACTCAGTTTCCTCTGGTGTGTACATGTAGAAGTACTGTGTGGGATTCCCCTCTGTAGGCTCTGCATACCTTGGTTGATAAGCTGCTGTGAGCCTAGAGCAGAGCAGGGCAGAACAGAGCTAGTGGGGAAAACGAAACTGAATGGGGAGAAAACAGGCAGAGTCAGGGAGAAGCCATGGAGCTGCCAGAGACAGACATGCTGAAACTTTGCTGGTAAGCCACAGCCACATGGCCATACACAGATTAATGGAGATGGGTTAATTTAAGATATAAGAGCCAGAAATACACTTATGCTATTGGCCAAACAGTATTGCAAATAATATGGATTATGAGTGGTTATTTGGGGGCTGAGCAGCCAGGAACAAACAAGCAGCCTCATACAACAGTTCAGTCTTACACAGGGTGACAAGATAAAATTTAAATAACTTAATTACTAATGGGTTAGACAACTGTCACACTATCACTACACAGGTAACCTTCCTATGCTTAGGCTGCTTTATAAAAAGCAAAATCAACTGGAGGTGGACACCACACGTTTGTGGCCTGCTCAGAGATCTCTCAGACACCTAGCTTGTGGATATGAGCTCTGCTTCTGGAAGGAAGCAGCCAGGGCCCTCATGTATATGTGACTTCTTTTGTAAAACATTTTTTATTTATTTGTGGTTCTTTGGGACAGGGTCTCCCTGTGTGGTCTTGGCTGTTCTGGAACTCACTGCCTCCTCCTGCCTCTAGCTCCCTTCTGGGATTAAAGGTGTGGATAACCGCACCCAGCTCTGTAAAACATCTTAAGGGGATAAAACAGCCTGTGCTTTTTTCTTTTCTCATAGAACATAAAAATGATTCTAGATACTGCATAGCTTTCTTACGGCCACA